ATACAGGTGATTAGATCCACCAAATCAAAATCAACTTTTCCAGCAAAAGAATTTCTGTTAAAGTTCCATTTTTATTGGAGTTTTTACTGGTACAGAAATGGAAGAAAATACTTTTTAACTATCATGTACTAAAGTTGGCAAAGCATTCTAGGATAAATTCTGGGACTTCTGTCTTCATTTGACAGCCCTGTGGAAGAATTTGGTTGCTTTTGTATACATATTTCTTATCGTCATACTAGGCAGCTAGATTCCCTAACTAGTGAAGACAAGCCTAAATGTTATTCTTGAGTTGTTATTGCAGCAGATGTAACCCATTTCATGAAACTATGCCAGAGCAAAAGATGTTATTTTTTGTTTTTGTGACATTTACTCCAGCATTTTGCTGTTGCTACACAAAGGATTCTTGCAAATAGTCAAGCAATATATGGGTGGCGCTTCTTGGCCTCTGTTAATTTGTTACGTTGCTCATAATTTGTTTGATAAGTCATAGGTACCACAGCTGTGCATAACTTCATGTTTGTGCAGCAATATGTCATTAAAAGCAATGTGGTTTGTTAAATTTTCTGAAGGTTTTATGAAACAAAAACCTGTGCCAAATTGAGGTCATATCAACTGAATTCGAAGTTCTGCCAAGAAAGATGAATTCCAGGACCTCCTGTGGCTACATTTCAAAACACTGTGGCTGCAGCCCCTCCATACAGCAAGTCAGTCTGATAGGTTTTTTAATGCACTGTTTTGTTGAAGGATAGAGCTCTTCAGGACATCAGGATGAAAGCCCTCCTCTAAAACTAAACAAGTGCCATAAGTGAAAATCAATTTATCAATCTATTTATTTCCAGAAGGATGAAACATTTTCCCAATAAGGGACAGTGGGAGTAGTTTTTCAGCTTCTGTATTCTTTATCTTGATATAAAGTGGGCAGCTTTTCTACTTCTTCCCCAAGGTAGAAGAAATGTAACCATTAGGTGGGAGGTCCAGGTGTATTTTAAGGGGGTTATCTTCTGAAAATCTCTTGCTTCCTGGAGTGATCTTTACTCACCAGAAGTATTTTGACAAAAACCAGTGGGACTGGTATTAGCATTTATATTACCACTTCAAGGGAAGTGATAGTAAAATGGAAGATATGTCCCTCAAACTTTGTTTATCCTAAGCCTCGTGTGCAAAATTTGTTGAGAATTGTACTAATTTATGCCTTTATGCAGTTTTTTAGAATGAAGTGTTTTGAAACCATTTTGAGTAGCCTTAGGCATCATTACTGGGATTTTAAAGTTATGAAGGCTAATACCCTACATGCCTTCAGCTAATCTTTGTGAGTAACTGGTCTCTCTGTTCTGCCCAATAATATCACAGTTCATGTGAGATCATCTTTTTTCTACATTTCTTTTCACCTGCACTTCTTGCCTTCCAGTGCACACAGAACTACCTGAACTGTTAAGCCAGTGAATTGCAGCTTTTTCCTCCCCCCTTTTTTTTTTTCTTCTCCCCAGCAGTCTGTATTTAATATTGGCTGAGTTTATCAGCTTCAATAGCTTAGGTCAGAGGGATGGATGAACCATAGCAGCTTGAGGATTTTGTGCAACAGCATAAATTTTTAGAACTGTGGTTTTCTATACAAATATATTCTAATTTATTTACAGAAAACTGCTGAAAGATAAATATTTCAGACCCACAGTTCAATACATCCCACCTGTGAGTTTACAACAATTGGACCTTGCTTGTCAATCAGTTCATTTTGATGTATTTTTAACAATTCTGGATTCTCTTTCTTCCCACGGCACTGAACTGGGCACCCTTGGTTTTTACTGTAGTGGCCAAATTGTGCAAAACCAGAGCAGCACTGGAGCTCTAAAAATACCCTTCTTTTCATCTCTTGTTACTTTCTTCTTGCATGTGCTCTTTCCCACTTTGGCCCAACTAGTAGAAAGAATTCACGGAAAACTAATTTCCTTCTCAGCTTCAGAGACTGAGAGAAATTCGTAGGGTTTATTATTTAGTTTCCATTCCTGTTTGGTCAGTTAAAGGACACCACCAGTGACTCAGGAACACTAATATATAATACATATAATTTTTTTAACCTCTATGTGTTTTTATTACTTGCATAAAAGATATAAATATTAAAAAACTATCTCTATTACTTTATCTGGGTATTTTTTTAAGTGCTAGCTGGTTACAGAGTGCTTCCAGGTGCAAAGAGGGCTCAGCTTTGGGTGCGGGTTTCCTGCACTTGCTGAGAACAAACATCAAAGAAGTTGTGGACCTGAACCTTCCTCACCTGAAAGCTCTGAGGAAAGTTGTGGTGTCAGTGTTTTGACTGGGGAGCTTTAACAGCAGCATCATGGACTGTGACCATTGCAAACCTCAAATTGAGTTTCAGGAGAGTTTTTACGTCACTTGTGTTTTGATCATCTTATAAAAATCAGCATAAGCAGCTGAGAGAGCTTCTTTCTACAGAAAATGCTTGTAAGGTGTTGTCTTCAGAACAGACAAGCAAAAGTTTGGTCAGCTGAACTAAAAGATAAACATCTACTTTGGGCAGAAAATGTTGTTTCCTGTTATATGCCCTCCTTTCATTGTTTGGTAGTAAGAACAACAGTATAAAACTTGTAAAAAATATTACTTTTTTTGGAATTGATCCTTAGTGTGGGCAGAAGGGAATTTAGATGTGTTGGAGGTGGGAAAGACAGAATCTACTCTACAAAAATTTGGTTTCTTTAAGGGCAACATTTTTTAAAGTGCTTCATATTTCTCTGAGAGTTAAGTTCAAGCTCAACCTAAAGAAAAGAATAAGTTATTGATTGACTGAGGGAGGATGAATAGTGATGTTCTCTTTATTCTAAGCAATACATTGCAAACAAAAGAGGACAGAAGAAAAAATAAATTATTAATCTGTGAGCCCAGGTGAGCCTACGTTTTTCCTTTGCAGCTGCTGTTTTGGTTTTTTTTTCTAGTGGCCAGACTCTCCCTTTCAAGGGCTCTCATAAGCATGAGAGATGTATACCTACCTTTGAAGTTGTAATTTCTAAGAATAGGTGCCAGTAAAAAGGGCCTGGCCACCTGCAAAACTTCTTCAGAGGCAGCAACAGAAACTTCTGCACCTGGCTTGGCTGTGAGGGAGAAAGGCACACCCACACATTTGGGGGTTTTGACATTAAGCTGGTTTGCTTTGGGGTGTTTTTCTTTGTACAGAAGGAAAATTTTCAGATAAATCATTGTGGGGTTTTTTAAAGTTGTTTAAAATTAAGGTCTCGCTGTATCTCTGTTAGATACTGTGAGCTAAGCCAGGGTGTCTTTTAATCACTCACGTACTGAAACCATACCAAAAGCATTGTGTAATGTGAAAATGATAGTTGTATCATGATTTTTTTTTAATCCCATGGAATCCCAATGTATTGAACACTTTATAATGAGTGTGTTATGGAGATTTCTTATCAGTCACCTTTCAATTAAAACTGTCAGAAGCGTAAAAAGGCAAAATATTTCCCATTTTACTGTAGGATAGAGCTTTGATGTGTGAACTCCTCTGGCCACCCAGATTTGTTATGGAGTGGTTGTGTCGAGCCAGAAAGGAGAAAGACTGTCTTGAATATGTGCCTGCTTCTAATTATGAGAGGGCATCATGGCACAGAGGAGGTCTGTCTTCTGGGTCACTGATCTAAACATATTTTTTGCTTCTGATCTGGTTCTGAGTGTGACTAGAGGACTTTGGCACCTTTTTGTAAAATTATGTGTGTGTATTTCCTGTGCCAGCTCAAAGGATGTCCTTTTCTGGCTAACTCGTATTACTGCTTGAGCAGCCTCACTCAGACTCATTATTTACGCAGTGGGCATATGCAGTGGATGGAGATAAAAGTCCTTCTTAGTTGGTAATCCAGCATATGAATTTTTGTGAGGAATGACAGTTTAGCAGTGGATTGGCTGAATTAAATAACTCAGGCTTAATAGATCTAGTGAAGACAAGCCCCGTGTTGAGATCTACTAAGCTCACAGAAACAAAGGAACTTAGCAAGACCTCTGTTTTCTTGTATATGTGTGTGTGTTGCTTTGGATTTTTTTCCTCTTTCAGAACATTAAAAAAAAAAAAAGTCTTAGATGATAATTGCTTTTAACAAGTTAAAACAGGCAACTGGAAAAATACAGACTTCTCTGTGAACAACTTATTTTTAGTTCATTTGTTCAGGATTGAGTAAACCCCAAGGTGAGGCATCGTTAGTCAGATCATTCATTATAAATTGTAGTAAAATGTCATAACTTACAAGTTCCTGTACAGGAAAGTTACAGAATAGACCATTATTTTGAAATGGGTGTGGTTTGTGACTTTGATTTCCTATGCTATGAAATATTCAGAGTAGTGATCAAAACAAAAAGGGCTTTTGCAAGAATCACCTTTCAAAGGTCTTGCTAGGCATTTTTTGAATAAGAAAGTTAAGAATTGTCTTCATAATTGTATCTTGATATATTGAGTCCCTATCTCCAGCACAGAATATGCAGGGTCTCATAGACTTGCTGCCTTATTTGTGCTTAGTTTGTAATGTATAAATTTGTCCCATCCTGTGAAATGTCTTCCAGTCTATTCTGGCTTCTTTTGTTACATTTCCCATCAGTTTTAGAATTACAGAATCACAGAATGGTTTGGGTTGGAAGGGACTTTAAAGATCTTCTAGTTCCAACTCCCCTGCCACGGGCAGGAACACCTTCCACTAGACCAGGTTACTCAGAGCCCCATCCAGCCTGACCTTGAACACTTTCAGGGTTGGGACATCCACAGTTTCTCTGGGCAACCTGTTCCAGAACCTCACCACCCTCACAGTAAAGAATTTCTTCCTTATATCTAATCTAAACCCGCCCTCTTTCAGTTTAAAGCCATTCCCCCTTGTTCTATCACAGTCCAGGCCCCTTTCCTCCAGCGTGTTGACTGCATCACACAGCTCGGTGGTGTCAGCAAACTTCCTGGGGGTGGTTTCAACCCCACTGCTCACGTTGCTGACAGGGTTAGACAGAGCCAGTCCCAACACTGACCCCTGAGGATGCCACTCGTCCCTGGTCTCCGCTTGGACATCAAACTGCTGAAGGCAACTCTTTGTGTGTGACCATCCTGCCAGTTCCTTACCCACCAATGCATAATCTGTCATATCCATGTCTCTCCAGTTCAGAGACAAGGATGTCGTGCCAGACAGTGTCAAATGCTTTGCACAAGGTAGATGTCACTCTTCATCAGTCACTATTCCCTCATCCACCACCGCTGTAGCTTTGTCATAGAAGGCCACCAACTTTGTCAGACACACTTTTGCCATTAGTGAAGCCATGTTGGCCATCACCAATCATCTCCTTATTTAAGTCATATTGGTTAAAATGCCTTTCTAGAATAAAAAGGAAATGCCATTTAATTTTCATGGGTAGAATTTAGGAGCAATTGAGGCTGCTGGGTGCCATCTCTGATCCTTTCACCCAACTGCCTCCCGTTCAAAGCAGAGACAGCTTCAAAGTTAGATTTGGTGACTCAGGCCTTGTGCTGAATATTTCCAAGGGTGGAGATTTAGAAAGTTCTCTGGAAAACCTGGTCCAGTGATCAGTGGTGTGATACATTTATAATTTTTTGCCCTTTAGATCTAAGAGAAATTTGCCATGCTCCTCTGTCCTTTTCTCTGGGTATTTTTGGTGTGAACCTCTGAGAAGAACCCAGCTTTTCCAAATATGTAAATGCCCATTAAGGAACTATGGATAGGATTTACGTTCCCCCTTTGTCTGGTCTTCACCAGGCTGGACAGACCCACATCTCAGCCTGTCCTTCTATGTCATGTGCTTCAGTCCCCAAGCCATGTGTGGGGCCTCTAAGTACTTTTTTTTATTGATATCTACTTAAAACTATAATCAAATGCCTGTTTTGTTATAGCATCTTGGCAAATAGATAGACTGGACACTGCAACAAGCTTCTCTTCATTCTTTGATTTCTGTCATTTATTTCAGGGAAAGTGTGAGAACACTCTCTCAAAGGATATGTGCTAAAAGAGACCTATTGTATAAATCCACACAATTCAAAGAATGCAAAGTAACAACTACTCTGTGGGTATTCACCCTCTGTTATTAGTGCAGACAAAATGAGTCAATTAAAGCACTTCAGTTGAACTACTGCTTCTCTCAAATCCTCTAATTGCTCAGCTAACTACAGGAAAACCAAAGTCTGGACAGTGTTTGGGAGATCATATTTGAGTGTATTATACTGAAATAGTCTCATCAACCACCACTTGATCTGTAAGACATTTTTGGTTTAGCTTTTGAAGAGAGTTTCTGTTCCGGCAAAAACATTAATCATGGACTGCCTCAATTGAAATCTTGTGAACATTTTTTACTCCTCAAGGGTGATGCAGTTGGTGACAAGCCCCTGGAAGTTCATGCTGCTTCAAATAAAGAGCGAGCCCAGAAGTAAAACGCTACATCACCTGGCATCAAACAGGTAAAGAGTAAAGACTGATAATAGTTTGTGGCTACAGCAGCAAGATAACGTGGAAAAGCTGAACATTTGCAAGTTTGACTTGTTATGTTCTTCATACTGATGAGGAAAGGAGGAGACAGATAGCTTTGTTTTGACATTTGTCAAGAACATGCATGCTCCTTAACACTGTTTAAGTTAAAGAATTTAAATTCTTTGTCTTCAGAGCACACAAAATAAATATATGTCTACTGGAAGGGTTCTGAATTAATTGAGCAAGGCCTTGTGATTTTACTGTTAGTTGGTTTTGGTCTTTTTATTTATTTTTTTCTTTTCCATTTCTTCCTCCCATACCAAAAACGTTTTTGCCTTCTATGTCACACTTGTACAAGTATGAAGGAGGGAAAAGAAACCTCTTCCCTGCTGATAAGTTTTCTCTAAAGATTTGTCAGTGCCAGGGTACAGTGTTGTGTTACAGCCTGTAACAGCCAACGATGTGCCTGACCTTTCATGTTAATGCACTTCCCAAATGAGACATTTCATCAGTTGGGAATAAATGATGGAGGAAATGGAGGCAGCATTTCCCAGTTCTCCAAGGCAGAAACTTGAGACACCAGTTCTGTTTCTGACTTGGCCTCGGGGCTGCTTTCTAAACTCCAGCAAGTCCTATGGTTACAGTTTCTAGAAAAGCAAAACAAAAACATCCTCTCAACTTTTTCAAGGTGGTTCAGTTTCATAGAACAAAAATTGCTCTGTATTTGAGGCTAATTATTAATAATTAAAATGTAATTGGACATCATTTAGTACAGAATGTCAGATAATGTCTGCTCTGTTATCAGTTGATAAAGGGAATCTTTTATGAACATATTTTCTACTTGCTTGTCTTTGCCCTGTATTATTTTTACATCATGGCAAAACCTGATTTTTCATCAGAAAATGATCCTGGCATTGCAGGGACTCCTCATTATTTTTCTCTGCAGTGTCCCATTTAGTAGAAAACTTCTGGTTTTTTTCCTTACTGCCAACTGTGTAAATGGAGCCCAGATGTAGGAAACTGCACCAATTTTTTCTTCCATGCTTTACCACATACATTTGCAGATGTGATGGAATGCACACATCTCCTGAGCAACAGCATTTCACTGTTACACAGCAACCTTTAAAAGCAAAATTAGTTTTTCATGTTTTTTCCCCTAATGTATTTTTAATGGCTATAGCTAATTCTCACAATGGCAAAGAGGTGTGTTGACTGGCTGATGTACTGAGGACATTAGTTTTTCCTTCAGACATCTGAATATATAAAGTCTTTAAGAATACATGTTTTCCAAGTATTTTGTAAAATAGTCACGTCAACTAAAAACTGAAAAATAATAGGAATATTTATGTGGGGTTTTTTGCTTTAAGATACCCAGGAGAACCAAGAGGAACAAAAACCTCTCTACAATTCACTGAAATATTATTGTGCTTATTGTCAACTAGGACAGAGCAACTAAATTATAAAAAGCCAGGAAAATTGAACTTTTGGCTGGCACACTGTACAAATATCAAGGTTCACCACAAGCAGAAATCCATAAATAACTGTTATTTTCTTTTAGCATTCTTTACTATGAATATAATTTTCTGTCAGGCCTTTATTCACTTTTTGAAATGTCAGCTTTTTGCTTCAGGCATATTTTCTTTGTTTAAGGAAGGTTTTAAGGGAGTGAAGATAAATTGCTCAGGTGCTTGAAGTACCTGGATGGTGCTGGTTTTGAGACCTACGTGCTTCACTGCATGTGCCTTCTGGAGGAGATGTATAAAGGGAACTGGTAAATTTTTGACCTCGGGCAACAAGTTGGTGAAAGTTCAATCCAGTCTCAATTTCAGCTGTTCTGCGGGGGTGGTGATTTGTTACTTATATCCAGTTTATTCAGCTCCATACCCAAGTCCAGATGTTTTGTTGGATTTGTGTGTTCCCAAAGGTTGGAGAACATGGCTCTGGTCTTTGAAAAGACACTTTTTTGTTGTTGTTGTTCTGAATGAGATCAGTCCTGAAAGTCTCACTGTATTTTCAACTGTTGGTAATATTCCTAGTTGAATGTGGTTACTAGAATAAAGACAATCTCATTTCCTCAATAATTTGCCACAGCATGGGTCTCTGAAGTGTGAATGGTCAGCCAAGGGCAAAATCACTTCAGGCTGGAGACAGAAATGTATTTCTCCATTCCAAAAACCAGCACCATTGCACCTCCTTTGTTACAGTTTTTCATCAGTAATTATACACAAACTTCAGCTCAAACCACGTCCCATGGTGGAAGAAGCAAGCTGTGATTTTATCCAGCTGTTGTCTAGAGGAGTTGCACGGAAGTGAGGGGGGGTTATATTTTTTCTTGAAGAAAGCATATCACATTTGCACTCTGTTCCAGTTCCATATTTATGTAATACCATTTCTTTGAGTTAAATTGCCCTGGTCTTACACCAGAGTAAGTAAGATTAGGAAAACATGCATTTGATGGGAATTTAAAAGAATTCTTTTTGAGGAAGTTGGTTAATTACACCAGATTCCAGTTGGTGTTTGGTTGCTGTGGAGTGTTCTTTCCCTTTTGTATTTCCACATAGGTCAACTATGGGAATTGAGTTCTCTAGAACAGACATGATCATTAGTGCTCTAATGTCAGTAATATGAAGAGTTAAATATCTCTTCTCCAAGTAAATTGGCATTGAGAATGCTTCTCAAATAGGTTTTGATCAACTTTCCACATCAAAGGAAAAAAGTTTTAATGGCACTTTGACATTGGAAAGAAGAGGCCTATAGTATTTAATTCTGCTTTATCCCTCCTTTTCTCTCCCCCGTGACCTCTGTTCCCTTTCTTTGGCTATAGGTGAAGGAAAATATAGATATAAGCAACAATTTCCCAAGAAAAAGATGAAAAACCATGTGAATCCATTTTGAATGTGACTAATCTGCCTTCTGCCTCGGGACAGTCTGGCTGGATGCTGCTAAGGCTTCTGGTATGGATTCTGTGAAAGGACATTACGTGTTTTGGGTCAGTCTGGAGACATCGTCCTCTGTTCTGCACTGGGACTGAAGTCTGCCCACGCTTGTCCCATTGCAGGATCAACATTGCAAGTAGCAAGTCTCAAAATCCCTGAGTCTCTTATTATTTATATACATAATAAAATTCCAGATACACAAAATGGTCCATTTTTTTTTTCCTCCTCCTGTCTTTTTTAAAGTCATGGATGCAATGTTTGCACAGTCTGTGAAAGGTTCTAGAAATGTTGTTGACAGTGCCTGTATTTTTTTGCCAGTGAGGGGAAGCTGGAAGTAGCATGATGTTTTGGCTGACACGGGCTCATAGAATTAGGAATGGGAACAATTACAATGACTCTTGTGTTTTGTTGGAGTCTCCCCCTCCTTTCTATATGAGTCTTCTGCCTCATCAGTGCCAGCAGGAGGTATATAATGAAGCATCTGTGAGTTCCTGTCTCGTAGATGGATGGGAATGGAGCTGTTAATGTTTGTTCTTGTTTTTGTTTGAATGCACAGCACAATGGGAGCCAGAGCGTTGTGGTGGTGGGAACCAGCTATAGAATAACTTGGCTGT